CCTGCGTGAACCCTTGGAAACAGGGGTTGACACACACACACACACACTTTATCATTTTTTGATCTGACATCAATTCTGCAAACCATTGACTTTGCAGCCCCGGGCACCCACCCGCAGAGTGGCAGTTAGTTCACATCGTGCCAGCAGCTGTTGAATACAGTCAATGCTGGCAGAAGCCACAGCCTCTGATGCTCTAGATGCACCAACAATACATTTTGCTGTTTTGATGGTCTGCACACGTCTTGGACTATGCATATTGCTGGAACTCAGAAATTAAGGTATCAGTTGTGCAGCACGGCTGACTTGATTCAATGCAACTTTTTGTTCTGCCGTCTTGGAGCTCTCAACTTTCAATTGCAACAAGATTAAAACTATACTGCATTTTTCCAATCACACCAAACATGATCCTCGAATAGATGGGTTATCCTACCCATTCAACGACAACAAGGAGAGCCTTGGAACTGTCACCCATCCGGGGCAACAACAAAGCAAGGCACCTGGGCGTGATTACAGTCAGCATTGGTCACCATGTGTATTCTGTGATGTCCGCCTGTGTTTCACAGACACTATGAAAATAAACACAAGCCCGATTTGGTTGCTGATGCCCACTTCCCTCATGAGCGGAAGGAACTCCCAGAATGACACCTCTTGTCTTTTAAAACCACATCAGTATAAAATAATGCCCAAACAACTCACAGAGGGTGGGGATACCCCTCAAGGCTTTGTGCACTACTTGAACTTGGACCCCCCTGCTAAAAGAAGTTCTGACCTGTTGGATGGTGTTGGACCCTCGAAACAATTCCCCGCTTAGTTAGTTAGCAAGCAGTTGCAATCATTGGGTCTTACCCTCTCTCAATAAAATGGATCCATCCACAGAGGCCATCCACAAATCCTAGTTCACAAAGCAGGTCGGCGTTATATAAGAAAATGAAATGCACAATCTTGGCCTAGTGTCCTTGTTGTCAGGTGGTATTGGTCTGGTCTGAAGGCAAACATCGTGTCGCTATGTTCACCGTTCGAATCCATTCATAGTCATTGATTCAGCTTAGTTGCGCCCAACGCAGCTGCGGTATGTATGGTGATATTGACTGGAAGTGTTCTTTACATTTTCACTCCGGTCATCCTCTGAAGTGCCGGTCTGGATTCTTTGCTCTTTGGCTTTCAGCCGCAGCAACTCTTGCATTTATGGTATAACTCTCACAAGGCCACTTCTTCGTGCCTTCGTAGAGGTGTGGACAACTACCACGATGGAACTTGTTACCTGCTCAGACAGTTCCAGGGCCTTTACACATGCAAGCTGTCGTGTAATCTCATGATCCGTGAAAGCGACCATCTTCCGTAACTTCTCGATCTCGCCTTGCAATTCGCTCTCTGTCGCCAATGCCGATGGTCTAGGTGTTCTTGGTGGTGTCCGTGGTGGAGTCACAGTTCCGCCGTTCTCTGGTCAAACTTTGCCTTTATGCAATCTCGTCTTCAATCTTCGCTGCTCCTTCTCTCTCATCTCTTGTCATTGTACCAGATTCTCAAGGGAATCTTTCCGTGCTGTGATGTTGAGCAGATCTTTCAAGAGTCGTCATGTCCCTTGACTTCATACTTTTCCGCCAACTTCTTGCGTTGGTCTTTCCACCACGCAGAGTCATTTTTGAGACAGTCGACCGCTCCTGGCTGAGCAATGTTCTGTCTTCGTCAACCTTGCTTGCTGCGCATGCGCTTCCACCTCTCGCGCTCTTCAATGGCTCTCCTCGCAAGTGGTTCCCAGGTGTCTTGCGCTGCAAGCTGTCTCTTGTCCCTGGCAGTCCTCACGTCGCCTTGTTGAATCTCCATGTCGTCAGGCTCCATCTTGACTGGCGTCCAATGCGGTCGCAGTTGAAACATATCTACTCACCATTCTCTCAAGCGCCACTGCATTGATCACCGTGATGAAAATCATGACGTCGACATCAATGTATAGCTCTTGGATTTTTGGTCTTCACGCCAATTGGCGGCTTGAGCTTCTGACCATGGATGCCACCCGGCTCTTCCACCTTCTTCTCCTCAAAGCCAGGTAAGCCACCGGCCAGGAACAGGATCTGGCCTCTAATGTCCAAGGTCCTGCAGACTGAGATCTACCATGCTCACCACGGTAGCAGCCGTGTTGAGCGTCCAGCTCCTGTGGCAGCGTCGACGGAGGCAAGGGGTTGGCTCCGCTACCAAACTCAGCTTATTTGTGCCCAAGGTGCCTGCGGTATGTATGGCGATACTCACTTGAAGTGTTCTGTATATTCTAAATCATTGCATAAATTGTCATGCTGCACTTTTGCTAAGCGTTTCCTTCTTCTATATGCCAGCGCTGGGTATGACTTGAGTAACTCTCATGCATGGCAGCACTCAAGCTTTTAAGCCCCGCTCTCGCACCAATCCCCCAGGTCATTGTGACCTGACGGCTTCTGAAACGCAAACGTAAAAATAAATACCCAAAAATGAGGCCTGTTTCCATGATGGCTTTCATGTGCATAGCATTGGTTATCGCTTAAGAAGCGTCAAATGAGGCTCGCTCTTTTGCGACCAACACAAGTTTCTTTAGTATTCTTGAATTTCTCCTCGTCTCTCGGTCTCTCGTTGCACATCTGCACCTTCTCCTTCAGCTGGAGCCACAATAGGTGCGACTCTGCAGAGATCTCCTGCTCATTCTCGGGGATTCCGGATACGTGAAATTGATCGACCTATTTTGGTAGGTCTACTGGGACCTCTCATTCGTGGTTGTGACCACGGTAAATATATAATCTACACGAGCTCGCCAAACACGATTGGCGCAGTTGAAATCCATAATTACTGCAAAAATGAGCCACACGTAGATCGATGTAAACAAACACATTGAAGCTTTCAAGCTGAACACAAACAACAACTCTTGTCCAAGCAAACGGGTTGATGTACAAACGGGTTGATGTAGGGCTGTCGCGCCCAAAGTACTGCCCAAAGTCAAACGAACGCGTATCGCATGCTGCGCAGTCGAACCCTACTATATTTGTATTGTCTCAGTCTCCGCGTCTCCACCTCCAGGGCGAGATAGGAGAGACTGAAAATTATTGCACCGTGGCCTCCAACCTACTATAGAGATGGCCTCAAACCTAGAATTGATGGCTTCCAACCTACTGGCGATGGCCTACTACTAGCGATTTCCTCAAGCCTGGAAGCGATGGATTCCAACCTACTGGCAATCATAATGGCCTCCAACCTACTAGCGATGGCCTCAAACCCAGAAGCGATGGCTTCCAACCTACTGGCGATGGCCTCCAACCTACTGGCAATGGCCTCAAACCTAGAAGCGATGGCCTCCAACCTACTAGCAATGGCCTCAAACCTAGAAGCGATGGCCTCCAACCTACTGGCGA